TCTTCCAGAGTCAGAGAAGTAAACCAATATTCCAAACCATTTTGACATATATATATTGAATATATATATTCAACATTGTATTTTATTTATTTAGGCAATTTATCTAGCTACCCATCTTAGGCGAATAACTCTGGATGACTTGCAAACAAGCACATTTCTAGAAAAGAATTTTTTAAAAAAGGAAATGAAAAAAAAAGCATGTATACTATTCATATTCAACAGACGATTCTTTTAAAATGTCTGTTCTTAACATGAATGGAATACAAAATATTGTCAACTGCTCCACCTATTGACATTTTAGTAGAATGAGAATATTAAATATATACAGTATCTATATCTATCTACGCAGAGACACACAAACATGCACACACACATACGCATCATTATGCATTTTCTGTATTTGCATCCACTGTGTTAAAAACTAGGGATATCCAGTTTTATCCAAGGAGTCAAAAAGGTTAGGAATGAAATATCTAAAAACATGTAAAAAAGAGATGCAGTTTTGAACTGGCAATCATGAATCTAATTTCATTTTTTTAAAACCTTCCCCTTAATGGACATCGCTGCTGGAACCATTATAAAATGAAACAATCATACGGTTTGATATAATCACAAATCAATTGAATTGATGTGTGTTTGATAACAAAAAGCAAGTGTGTTTATGATAAAATAATTTTAAATGTATGCAAGTGTTCTCTTTTTCAGCATCTACATTTAGCTAACAGGCACGGAAAACAAAACCTCATATTCACCTTCAGAAAACCTAATGCCCGTTGCTATTGTGAAAAATAAGATATATTCTTACTTTTATATCTACAATTTACATGTATAATTTAAAATATTATTACTACATTATAAATATTAAAATGGCCAATTGTATATAAAAAGGAAGAAAAAAACACAATGCGTGCACGCACACGTGCGCACACACAGACACAAACAATACATAGATACATAGAAAAAATTAAGAGCAAACCTCCACCCATTAGAAATGATGTGTAAGAATGGAACTTTAAATTATATTGATAAATGCAGAAGCTGAAACACTGCATATACTGTATCTTCAAGAAATTAATGATTACATATACCAGGTTGTTACATAACCTACTGAATGTAGGTTAGGCCCTGTTTAACATCTGTTTGAAGTTAGAACAATGATAAATAAGTGACTTTGCAACCAGTCCTTGAATTTACAACCTTTGCAGGTCTGTGAGGCAAAGGAAAACTGGAGTAAGGTTATAAGCATCATCATAGTTTAACTTAGCAACTGCTTCACTTAATGGCCAGTCCCACTTGTGGTTGCTATATGAGGATTACCTGTACTTTAATGTAAGAATTATTTAAAACTTCTTCCATAATTCTTAGTCCAGCTGTTTTATCTTTTGCTCCGTTTTTAAATTTATCACTTTTGTCTGTCAGTACATTTTGGACAACTCTGAACAAAATTCCTTGAAAGGGAGTAGGAAGAGTGCTCTAAGAATCTGTTCTTTAGTTGTATTTCATAATTTTATTTTTGTGTCTGAGGCAGGTAATTGAAAGCCACATGGCCTATTCCTTCGAAATAAAAAAAGTAGCATATGATTATCACAATTAATAAAAAAGCCTCTATATACTCACAAAGAACTTAAAAACTTTCAGCAGCTGTTGGCTTCCCTGGAAGGATTGACAGTGTGGTGTCATTTGTATGTTTATTTGCCAATTAAGAAATGTATATGTATATTAATGTCTAATCTAATGAAGAGAAGGACTATGAGTGACTTGATAGCGGTGTTCCAGTATCTAAGGGGCTGCCACAGATAACCTATTCTCCAAAGCACCTGGAGGAAAAAGAAGAAATGGATGGAAACTAATCAAGGAGAGACCCAACCTAGAAATAAGGAGAAATTTCCAGAAAGTGAGAACAATTAATCAGTGGAATAGCTTGCCTTCAGAAGTTGTGGATACATCATTGCAGGTTTTAACAAAAGATGGGACAACTATTTGTCTGAGATGTTATAGGGTCTCCTGATTCTGCAGGGGTTGGACCTGAAGACTCCAAGCTGCCAAATCTGTTATTCTATATATTTTTCAAAGCCTGCATTCATTTTTACAAGCTCCTCAAAAGAATAAATGAGACAGATCCTAGAAAGCATTCATGGTTTGTAACACAAGAGTCACACATTTCTGGCAGAACGCTAAGACAGATAAAATTGTCTTGATTAAAAGTGAGACTACAAGTCAATTTCGCAGAAGAGAAATGGCTTTAAAATAAGATATCAGAGTTAGTCAAGAAGCTCTGAGTTGTTTCAGAAGTGGGAAGGAATTGGGAAGAGTATCAAGGCTGTATTCTGACAAGAAGGACAGCCTCTGAAAATGTCATCAAACAATAATAAATTTCTAACTTTGCAAGGTTGGGCATTTGACCCAACTACATGCAAGTAACATTTCTGTGCTTCTGGCCTGCTTTCTTATTTATTTCTTGTTCCTGTTCCTGCTTCTCTTTCTCTGTGTCCTATGAGATGGCAGCAACAGAGGGACAGAAAAAAGAAGGAAGATGGCATTAAACCAGCCCCACTTCCAGGGTCACCTAAAGCCCTAAGAGGTTTAGTTTTATCATCTTCCTCCTTTTGAATTATGGAACATCTTTACATTTTTCACATCACAAATTATTTGGTCCTTTTAAGGCAAGGCAGGCAACGGACTTCTGGAGAAAATGTGGTAGCTTCTGTGGTCTTTCCAGACTCAGAAAACTCAGAAAAATAGTACAGGCTAAAATAACATTCATTTTTTTTAAAAAAGCAATATATTTACCCTCAAACCCAATATCTGATGACTTATGGACATGCCCACCACATTTTCATGGTAACACTCAAGAATGTTACCCAGCCACTTCAGCAAAATCAGTTCAATTTTTTTAAATGNAAGTTGTGAATGCCCCAACACTGGAAGTCTTTAAGAAAATGTTGGATAGCCATTTGTCTGGAACGGTCTAGGGTTTCCTGCTTCGGCAGGGGGTTGGACTAGAAGACCTCCAAGGTCCCTTCCAACTCTGCTATTGTATTATCCCACAATTCTTTTCTTTAAAATAACAAAAAGCATCAACTGTGTGAACTCAAAATGCTGATGGTTAGGCTTTCACAGGCACATCCTTCCACATAAATCTTCTATATGAAAATCAATACTTATTTTTCTGGAAGTTGAGTTATGGCCATTGGACTTCTTTTCTTGAAGAATGTTTCAAACCAAAAAAGAAAAGAAGTTCAGTTGCCATGACACAACTTCCAGACAACTCAAACTGGATGACTGAGAATCTTCATCGACCATACTTATTTTTAATTGTATGGAATTAAATAAACACCTGACATAACAGGTGAACATTTTTCGACTGCCCAGATTCTACAGTTATCCTCCTTTTTCTTTTCCAAGATTTTTTTTTGTTATGGATAGGACAATCATTTCTCTTATTCCACATCTCATAATTTCTGTCGACACATCTGTATAGGAAAAAACCCTATTTCGATTTTTAATGTACATTGCATACCAGACCAAAGCTAAACATATTAAAAATGCATAATACTGTACATTATCTACTTAAATATACTTGCAATAAAATAAAAAATAAATTTTAGTAAAAACATGTCCACCAGAAGGAAGAAGCAAGGAGATATTAAAAGGCTTTTCATTCTGATCTTTGCATCATGTTACCTTGTCTTTGGTTCATTTGGAATTTCAGATATTTTAAATGAACTGTATTAAATTAACATGATTTGCCCCATTAATGTTCATTGCTCATTGCATAGATTTATTCTGAGCACAGTGTTTGAGGGGGATAAGGCAATATAATCAGTTGCAACCTCTTTGGAATAGAATTATAATGGTATTGAAAAAAAGGGAATTACAACTGGTCCTTGCACTTACGACTGTTTCAGCATGCCCATGATCACCTGATCAAAATTTGGATACTTGGCAGCCAGCATGCATTTACAATGATTGCAATGTCCCAGGGTTATGTGATCGCCATTCGCGACCTTTCTAGATGGTTTCCAACAAACAAAATCATTTGGGGGGGGGGGAGGTGGTTTTGCTTAAGGACTGTGTAGTTCACTTAACAACTGCAGTGATTCACTTAACAACTGTGACAAAAACTTTTGTAAAATTAGATGTGACTCAATAACCACATAAACTGATTGTTGAACAACAGAAATGGTGTGTATTAATTGTGGTTGTAAATTGAGATTATCTGTAGTTTTCTTGTAAAATCAGACTAGGCCTCTGTCTGATAATAGTCCTTATCCTAGGTTTTGTTTGAATGTTTGGCAGTTTTTTTTAGTGACATTTGTTTTCTTCGTGATGCCTGTTAATCTATGTAACTTGTATATTTTAATGAGTTACAGTATGTTATTTTGCTATACTGTTTTATTATTTTACTCTTCTTATTAAGAGAGGAAAATAGGAATGTAAATTTTTCAGTCCTATTGGACAGGCATGCCATTTGAGTCCAATTAAGTAAATCATCAAAAGTAAACTGATTAGGAATAAGATATACAATTTATATGTGTGCTTTGGGGTGTTTCCTGACTGAATAAATAACCTATGGAAGGTTAAGATATTTCAGTGGTAAAGATTAACAGTGGTATCACCACATATTCCTGCTCCAGGCTGAACTAATTCCTTCTGCAACTGTTTCTTAAAATGTACACAATATTTCCACAAGTAGCATGGCCCTTTAAGTGAAACTCTTAATAGCGTAGAGAATGTACCCAATATTTAAAACATAAACAGACCTAGAGGGCCCAGTACTTTGTCCCAAAAGCTGATTATTAATTTAAGGATAATATTCACTTCAATTAAACTATTGAAACAAAAAATTCAAGGAAGCGTATGGAAGTTGTTCCAGTTTTCTATATATCATTGTAATATTAAAAAAAAAATCTAACTTTTCTCCCATGTTCCTCATCAAAAGGGTGAGTCAAACTGAATATCAATGCAAAGGCCCATTACAAAGTAACATTTCGGAATACCTTGCCAAAAATGGTCTTGACATATATAGGCAGGTCTCCTTGTGGGCTTCCAAAGCCTCCTACAATGCTAAAGCCCAATCCATCCGACCCTTTCTCCAACACAATGATTTTAGGTTGAGGTGGTCTGAAAAAGACAACAAACATCCATTAATACATTGCCTACTTAATATGAGGAAAAACAGCATCACTTGAGAATCAAGATCACATGAAGTGTTAATACCACTTTATAATGCCTTGGTAAGACAACACTTGGAATACTGCATTCAGTTTTGGTCGCCACAATGTAGAAAAGATGTGGAGACTCTAGAAAGAGTGCAGAGAAGAGCAACAAAGATGATTAGGAGACTGGAGGTTAAAACATATGAGGAACGGTTGCAGGAACTGGGTATGTCTAGTTTAATGAAAAGTAGGACTAGGGGAGACATGATAGCAATGTTCCAATATCTCAGGGGTTGCCACAAAGAAGAGGGAGTCAAACTATTCTCCAAGGTACTTGAGTGTAGAACAAGAAGCAATGGGTGGAAATCAAGGAGAGAAGCAACTTAGAACTGAGGAGAAATTTCCTGACAGTTAGAACAATTAATCAGTGGAACAGCTTGCCTCCAGAAGTTGTGAATACCCCAACACTGGAAGTCTTTAAGAAGATGTTGGATAGCCATTTGTCTGAAACAGAATAGGGTTTCCTGCCTAGGCAGGGGGTTTGACTAGAAGACCTCCAAGGTCCCTTCCAACTCTGCTATTGTATTGTACTATAGCTGGCTCATTCCATCAGAGCAATGGCTGCCTTGCACTGGTTTTGTCTATTTTATTAATGGCTCCCAAGCTTAAGATCTTTTTTATTTTTTTTTAGTTCTGGGAGCTCTTGATGGGCGATATTAAAGTTTGGAATACAAAGTATGGATTCCATAACTGGTCCTTCCAGGAATTAGCTATGTGCTTGCAATAATTCTGTCAACTCCCTTCCATTCCCCAATACTCCCCTGTCTTTATTTTCAGCAGCTGAAATAAGAAAATGTAACATTTTCCATAACTGAAAACTACAGGCTACTGATCACTGCAGTTATTAATACTGTAAGAATTCATGAAACAAAGAATGCATAGCACTAAAACATGACAAATCAGGAATACACATATTTTCTAATTTGATTGAAACATTTTAAAAATATTTTTATTTATAGTTTTTTAAAATAACATCCATAAGTACTTGAACAGTGTATTGTGTGGTTCAATACACTTTATACATAGTACTAATGATAATTATAATACTATTTAGATATACATACTCATAATCTTTCAACTTCTAACATTTGTGTATACATTGTAATTATAATATATTCTATTATATATCAATAATTTGACTGAAACATTTGTTTGGTAAGACAAGTGTTTTTGGCAGGAACCTTTAGCATAATTTGCCTACTTCCTTTTTTCCTGGCCAGATGCCCTTCATATCTATTGGGAGTACAAGGAAGTCTGGAGAAGACAGTGTTAGTTGAGGCGGAGGACCAGTTATGAGAGATGTGGAATTAGTTCTAAGCAGGCCTACTGGCATCATAGGTCAGGATTGATTCCATCGAAAGGATGATGGGATGGAATGTAGTCTGGATTCCCAGGAGGGAGGGTGTGCATTTTAGAGAGGCATAAGGCAATTCAGTTCAGATTGTTTGTGTGAGAGAAAAAGAGTGAAATGGCTACTTCTTAATAATTGCAGAGTATATGCTTTGGGGGGGGGGGGCTTTGCTTTAGTTTGGCAAGATTCTATGTATGGGTGAATAACAATGAAAAAATTGGGAGAATCACATCATGTATTTTGGGGGGGGGGTTGGAGCTTGAAAGATGGCAAGCTGTATGGAGAAACATGTTCTGTACATAGTGGGGAGACAGCTGTGTCCTCAGTATTCCTTTCATTGTTGTCTTTCTCTGTCTGTGATGGGCATAAATATTTCTGCTTCACAGACAGAATCATTCCACTCAGGATGCAACCACAAGCTAGTGCTCTGCCTTGAATGGAGTGGCTTCAGCTTTCTTACCCAACTTAATAATGGTGCATGCAAGACTAAACAACTTGAGTGACATGACCATATTTCCAGTAATATATTCCTGTAACATAGATGTAGAGATAGTATTTATGTTTATTTAACTATAAAGATGGTAACAAGGAAATCTCCACTGGCCTTGTGACTAAATAAAGCAACAATAAGAAACAAGAGTTCAGCAAACTGCATTTCCTAAAGCTTTGACATGCATCTGATTAGCAGGAAACTAAGAATTAGAACAATTATCTTCTTCTACACCAGAGTGTCCAACCTTGGAAACTTTAATACCTATGGACTTCAACTCCCAGAATTCCTCAGCCATCATTGCTGGCTGGGGAATTCTGGGAGTTGAAGTCCACAGGTCTTAAAATTGCCAAGGTTGGACACCCCTATTTTAGACAAAACAATTAAACAAGAAATTGCCTGGCCAAAGATTGCCAAGTCTCTTGAAGAAAGGTGCATTTTAAATGTATATATAAAAGAATTAATTCAATATATTATGGCAATATATGTCTGTGTGCTGTGATTCATGATATCCAAATGAGAAAGCATTCAACTTAATTTTTAAAAAGAACAAGTTCGTAGAGCATTTATCAAGACATTTTTGGAAAAAATCCACATTTAATTTGTCTAGCAGAAGATCATCTGGAATTGCAGTTGTCATAAATCATCTCAAGCGAAAACATAGCCAGGCAGAAGGATAATAAACATGACAACATGTCAGTGGGGGAAAACCCACCCAACCTCAGAAGATCTGCTTGTTCTTTTGATCAGTCAAAAGAATGAAAACAAAATTTTTCCAGCAATCTGAAAAATCCATTGTCATATATTTTGCGCTATTGGAAACATTATCTGAAACATTATCTGCTTGAAAGTAGAAATATTTACATTAACTGTCAGAAGAGAGAATCGTAAAAGGTTTCTACAAATGCTACAAAATGGATATGGGGAAGAGAAATTAGAAATATTGAAAGCATGCCCGATTCCGATTTATGAGCTAATAGCCATGACTTGCATTGGACCACCATAAATTCAGATGCACAGGGAGAATGATGGAGGGCTGCTTCTATGTCCAAATATTTGTCAAACTTAAGGAAAGCAGAATTACACAATTACACAATTCATGTTCCATATAATTCTGCACTGGGTAGAGTTTATAAAGGACTTGGCTCTGGGTAGAGTTTATATAGGACTTATATCCTGCCATACATAGAGAAAAAAGGCATCCTCAAAGTTGAGAAACAGCAGAAATAATTTGACACTGCAGAAGATGCTAATGCTGACCTGCACATTTTACAGACTATGGACAACATCTAACCCTCAGGCTGTTCTTGTCCAGCCCGCGGCAATGTTGGAGGGCGCAGCATCAGTGGGAGGGGGGGGCAGGGCAGCATTGGCAGGTCAACAATGGCAGGTAGAAAAGTGACATTGGCGGGGTGGGGCAGGAGCCCTCCACAATAGTCCCAGTTTTTTATGTAGCCTTTTGGGAAAATTAATTGCTCAGCCCTAATCTAATGTAGAAGGACATGGTGGCTCAGTGGTTAAGACACTGAACTTGTCGATCAGAAGGTTAGCAGTTCAGCGGTTCAAATCCCTAGCACTACATAACGGAGTGAGCTCCCGTTACTTTTTCCAGCTTCCGTCAATCTAGCAGTTCAAAAGCACGTAAAAATGCAAGTAGAAAAATAGGGACCACTTTGGTGGGAAGGTAACAGCATTTCGTGCGGCTTTGGCATTTAGTCATGCTGGCCACATGACCATGGAGATGTCTTCAGACAGTGCTGGCTCTTCAGCTTTGAAATGGAGATGAGCACTGTCCCATAGAGTCATAAACGACTAGCACATATGTGTGAGGGTAACCTTTACCTTTAATCTAATGTAATGCACAAAATTCAAAGGCTTGCACGCATGCAAAAACAAACAAACAAACAAAAAGCAATTATACATCTAGCAGTCTATCATCGTAATAACATTTTCATTATTCCTCATATTTTCAATATGGCACAAGCCTTATTTTGAGCATGAATCTGTTCTTTCACCTATCAGATTATCAACAAATGTATGTACTTACTCTGCGTATTCAGAATGATGCTCGGTGGGTGGAGTAAAGTTAGTGCTGGAAGTCATATTCTCTATCTGGCTGGCAATGGCACTGATGTTGGTATCAGCCACTACCTACAGTGCAATAGAAGAAGAAACAAGTATCAACAATGTGTGACTTACTACAATGTGTATAATACTAGCAATGGGATATATTTGATGGACATATTAATGGACCAATGAAAAGTTGAAGCACTGACAATGTATCCTGCTTAAGGCTCAAGTAAAAACTGTAGAAGTGAACCAAAAACATGTTTATTCAATTACTCTTTAAAGAATTGATTCAGCCACCCAAATTGGACCTGGGGGAACAAATGAAATCATTACAAAACTGTTCATATTTCCTGTTTGTTTGTTTGTTTGTTTTAATGGCAATAATCTCTCTCTCTCTCTCTCTCTCTCTCTCTCTCTCTCTCTGTGTGTGTGCGTGTGTGTGTGTCTGTCTGTCTGTCATTGGCAATAGAAGCACAGTAAAGTTCAAGAACTCACAAAAAGCTTTTCTTTATCTCTTTACCAGGACTGCAAACAGCTGATTCAATTATCTAGGAGCATCCAAACAGTCAGGCTGGATCAAATATTCCCCAGAGACCCTAATCTCTCCTTTGCAAGAGCATTAACACATTTCTTTGTGTTCCTGCCCTGACAATTAGCATTTCCACAGCTCTATCTCCAGTCATCTGACCTTTCCTACCCATTTTATCATGAGGTCATTTTGCTGATAATAGAATTATTTAATGATGTGTCAGTGATTAATATCAGATTTTAAAGAATGAATTCACTTCTGTGGTATGAATTCAACTTCAGGCAAACAAAGAGCACAGTTATTTAAACGCAACATACTATTCATATTTTTATGGACATATCTGGATATTGATACAGACGGTGAGAATATGGCAAGCTGTGAAAATGACTAATACTTTTAAAAAAAAAATTAGCCATACATGTAATAGATTAAGGCTTTAATCTAGTTAATTTAAAATGTGTGATAGCAAAATCCATATTTTATTTCTCCTACTTAATTATTTTTTAAGTAAGAAACATATTGCAGGAGCTAGGCATTATTGAACATCTGACAATCTGCTTCTCTGGAAGTGCTAATGTAACTGACAGTATATTTTTTTACCTCATAAGCCAATAAACTGAGTTTCCTGCATTGCTAAAATATTACTGCCTGTTTACTACTTAAAAAATAAATATTAGCAATGTGTATTAATATGTGCCTAATAATACAATACAGCTCCATCCTTGGCTGTCAATATTATTTTCACATTATTTTAAAGCAGCTATATCATTTGACTTAACTGCACATTCCTGTGTCATCTGTTCCAAAGCAAAAGTTTATCTCCTCCCCAGAATCATTCCTTTTTTTCCGCTTTGTATTTTTACTGGAGGTGATTCTTTCTTGATATGGTCCATAAATATAAATCAGGCACCACCTTCCATGCCAAGGTTGGACAAGTTTACCATCTGTAGACCTCAATTCCCAGAATTCCTGAGTCAACCATGCTGGTTCAGGAATTCTGGGAGTTAAAATCTACAGGTAGTAAAGGACCCATAGTTGCTCACCACTCCTCCATGCCCTGAACATATCATGGGCAGAAACACAATATTATTGACCTCAATCTCATTGCCCAAACTTCAGCAACTTATGAGCTTCAACTGCTGGCTTGGAATTCTGGGAGTTGAAATTGCTAAAATTGAAAAACACTGTGTTATAAATTGCTGCAGCTTCTGAATCAATTTGCAACATTTCTCCCATTTCTATCGCAATTGATCTTTTGAAATAGAATAAGGAATATGAAAATATTTCAGTGTACTCTCCTTTTCAAAAAAAGTTTCAGTTGGGATATTTAATTCCATCAAAGTGGTCTCTCAAGGCTGGTTTATTATAAACCATTTATTATAAAGCCTTAGTAAGGCCACACCTGGTATACTGTGTCCAGTTTTGGTCACCACATTATAAAAAAGATGTTGAAAAGAGACTTTTAAATAAGTGCAGAGAAGAACAACTAGGATGATTAAAGGATTGGAAATTAAAGCATCTGAAGAATGGCCGCAGGATTTGGGTTTGGCTAGTCCAGAGAAAAGAAGGACTAGGGAAGACATGAAAGCAGTATTCTCATATTTGAGTGGCTACTATAAAGAGAAGGGGATCAGGCAGGAGAAGAAACAATGGATGGAGACTAATCAAGGAGAGAAGCAACCTGAAATTAAGGAAAAACTTCCTAACAAAGAGGACAATTAACCAGTGGAACAGCTTGCAGTCTAAAGTTGTGGGTGCTTCATCACTGGAAGTTTTTAAGAAGAGACTGGACAATCACTTGTCTGAAATTACTTGTTTTGTTTTTAGAAGAGCATGCCCTTTTTATTTATTTTCTAAAATATGTTTTGTATTTCTGCAGATGCTGTGTTTTTCCACACACACTATTTCCCTCTTACTTTTCTGTGATTCAGCAATTCTTGCCACCCGAGTTTGCTGAAGGAAGAAATGATTTCAGCCTTTAAATATATATTCCTATTTCAATCAACCTCTTTGCAGGTTATTGCACTTTGAGATTGATGCAGATCTATCAGTGATGTTTATTAATATTAAAAACATTCAGGTTACATTCAAAAAGTTGAATGTAGGTATTTTATCATCCTGAATTTAGTGAATTGATTTTTTTTTTCCTGTGCAGGAACATTAATGCTTTAGACATGCTGTATTTTAGGCTTTCTCATATCGGGACTTTCTCCAGATTGTTAGGTATTCAAATTCATTGCCATTTTCAGTTCATGCATTTTTCTCTTTATTTGTGTATTTTCAGTTTCATTTATTTTTACAATGCTTATAAAATGTGGTCTAATCAAAACTGATTCTAAGCAACATTCAATTCTCCGCTCTATGTGGGGATAAAACAAAAGCAAAAGACCCAGGGAATAAATTACAATCAGCCCATACACGATTAGAGTAACTGCCATTGCTAAAGGCAAATGGGTTACCACTCAGTATAAACACATGTGTATACAGATTAAATCGCAGGGCAAAAATGAAATGATGTAATTGCCCCAGGATTGGGCTGTAATGCTAATTTTAGAAATTCTCCAAGATAAACTTCCAAGAGAATTTAGAACAATTAAAAATGGGAGAGAGAGGAAAAAAAAATGTTTTTCCTAAGAGCCAATTCACACAATTGTTTAGACATATATATTTCAGTGAATAGAATTGAAAGCTGAATAAGTTTTTTTTCTTTTAGTTTCTTTTTATATAACTTTCAGATTCAGATACACAGGTAGACCTCGACTTTCAACCACAACTGAGTCCAAAATTCCCATTGCTAAGCAAGGCAAGTGTTAAGTGAATTTTGTCCCATTTTATGACCTTTTTTTGCCACAGTTGATAAGCAAATCACTGCAGTTTTTAAGTGGATCATATGAAGCAAATTTGGCTTCCCCCATTGTCTTTCCTAGTCAGAAGCTGGCTGGGAAGATTACAAATGGTGATCATATGACACCAGGACACTGCAACTGTCATAAATACATGCCAGTTGCCAAGTGCCCAATTTTTGATCACATGACCATGGGGATGCTGCAAATGTCATTAGTGTGAAAATTGGTCATGTCACTGCCGTTGTAACTTGGAATGGTCACTAAATAAATGATCAAGTACTACCTGTACTGTTCACCAGAATTGGATGTAATTGCAGTTATAGTAAAAATCTAAGCAAAAATGAATGAAAAATCCAGAACTACAGAGACTCTGCCAATATTTTACTACCTAATCTTAGACAAAACAGAAATCAAATCTTCAATTTACATTCAGGATGAATCACTTGTCAGATACGGATTCTGCATTTTTAGCTGGTTTCCAACAGATTTCTACAGATGAACTCTTTTTGACTCAGCCAACTTTTGCTTTAAATATATTCAATATAAATAATTGTAAATTGTACTGGTATAAGAGATAATAGTTGTAAAAGCCCACTGATCTGTACTGATAAAAAAGTTAAGCACCTATCTTCCAAAATCCTGCAGAAATTAATGGATATAAAATGTATAAGACTCAGGGCAAGGTATATGATCATTACAGCCCAATAAGATAAATTGGGATTGATGGTAACATATCTTGCTTTTAAGCAATTTGTATAGGTCAACTAATAAAATAACCACCTTGCAGTTTATAAACAGCAAGAGAGCACATTTTTATTTTTGCCTTCTCAAATTAAATTAAAATGAGAGATGAACCCTCCAGTTCAAGTATTGCACCTGAGTTGTATTATAAAATCCATACCACTGTTAACAAAGTCTTTTGTTTTGCTCTTTTTCCTCTGAAGAAGGAAGAAGATGTTAACTTGACAGAAAGCTCCATCAAAGCTCCATAGTAAAAGAGAAAAATCTGTTTTTAGTCAGGTAGTTTTTGTGTGTGTCTGCAACAGGATTTAATTAGTTTATCAATATAAAGTACAGAGCACAAAGAAAAAGGAAAATAAAGAAGGAAAAGGGGAAGAGAGAAAAGTGTAGGGTAAAGAAGAAAAAGAAAAATGTTGACTTCCAACTCTTTTGGTGCAGTAGAATAAGGTAGAAACATAAAACCTCAACTTTTTACTTTTATGTGACAACATATACTAGTCATTTCTCTAATAACAAACCTACTTAATCAGCAAAACCCAAAATTAAACCCATTTCATTTTTTTCCACCTCAAGCAAAGTCCAAAAGCAATTGCCAAGTAGAAACAATTGTGTTCTTTTCTTTAATAAAAGCAGTAAATTTAGCCATTTCTGCTAAATCTATCAACTTTTGCAGTAATTCATTTATCCATTGTGGGAATCCGAGAGGAATCTGTTTTTTGTTTTAAAAGTGATGGCAGCTAAAAAACAGCAATTATTATTTTTAATCATTTCCCTTTTTCCATTTTCTTTAGATTTCGAACCACCATGCCCATAGTTATATGTGCAAGAATAAAATGTGCTTGAACATAATAGATTTTTCTTTCATCCTGCATAATTGACATCAGTAAACACCCTGTGATGTCTATTGCTGGGAACACTCAGGACATTATTTAAAATTACCCCTGAAATCACTGACACCATTGCACAGTTGTCTGTTCAATTTATCATTATACCTGCAGGATGATGGTCCCATAGGCATTCTTCAGCAGATTTACTACCTCAGCATGAGACAGACCATCCAAAGGCTGCCCATTAATACTGACAATCCTATCACCAACCTAAAAGAGAGAGGAAAAAATAGAATATAGATAGAAATATGGGTAGCATCAGGGATACTGGAATAATCGACTTGTTTTGCAAGTGTGGTGCTGCACAGTCATGTTTCTTATTTATAAAAACATAATAGTCCAATTTATAAAGCCCAGTATTTCAGCCACATGAATTTGTCCCTAAAATTAATGTATCTTCTAAGGTAGGGATAGCAATAGCAGTTAGATTTATATACCGCTTCATAGGGCTTTCAGCCCTCTCTAAGCGGTTTACAATGTCAGCACATTGCCCCCACAGTCTGGGTCCTCATTTCACCCACCTCAGAAGGATGGTAGGCTGAGTCAACCTTGAGCCGGTGAGATCTGAACCGCTGAACTGCAAAGTCAGCTGAAGTGGCCTGCAGTACTGCACCCTAACCAGTGCGCCACCTTGGGATACCCAACCCTTAGTCCGTGGACTGGCACCAGGCTGTGGCATGCCAGAAACTGGACCACGCAAACAAGCAAAGCCCCATCCAAGGATGCACGCAGCACACAAACCCACGCCCCCTCCAGTCAGCAGAAAAACCTCTCTCCACAGAACCGGGTTCCTGGTGCCCCAAATGTTAGGAGCCACTGTTCTAACGCCAGGAGGTTTTAGTGCTAGTAGTCCATATGTGAGACGTCTTGCTCCAAATGGTTGAAATATAAATTTAATAAATAAATAAACAACTGGATATTGAAGAGATTTATTTTTAAGATACTGTAAAGCTGTTATTCATGATTGATTGCTACTCTGGATTTGTTAACCTTATTTTATTAATAGCGCTTTAAAAAAATTGTTGATCTGTTTCTGTAATTTGTGAGCTGTTTTCAGCAACTATTTTCTAATTCAAAAGAAAATGTGGTGCTGATGTTTTTGTATAAATAAAATAAAAATGAGGGGGGGGGAGAGAACTCTTGCTCCAATTTCATAATCTAGGTGCAAAGAAAAATCATTGTAAATGGAAGAAGAGACTACTGGTGGTATGTGAAACACTTTTTTCCCCTAGGGTTACTTGGTGAAGTGAAGATGTTAGTCATAACTGCTATTATTTTCCCTACAAGTCATCCAGTATCTTCTGAAATTGAAAAAAGAAAAAGAAAATGAAGTTCCTGCATTTTTATGTTGCATTAAGATTGAAATAGGAAACTACATGAGATGAGTTCACTGTCTTGATTGCAGAAATCGTAGTACAGAAATTCAATTTTCCACAATTGCTGTTATTCACAGCAGTGGACAAAAATGACGTTCTTTAGCAGCAAAATGAATGAAGCACCTTCCAAAGTTGGAAAAAGAAACATTTTTGGAGGTAATAAGAACAGCAACATCAGCAAGAAAATAGAGCTAGTATTTATGCACATATCAGTCATTCTTTTACTTACACGTAGTTTATGTGTGCGTGCTGCCACTCCATTGGCTTGAATCATAGCAATGAAGATCGGAATATCTGCCAAGGGACTTCCCTTGCCACCTGCAATACTGATACCAAGAGCATCGTTCAGGCCCTTAACAGAGAAAGCAGAGTTATAAAAATTACTTATTTTGCCCAAGTTTCAAATATATAACCTGTGGATCTGGTGTCAGATGGAATGTAATTAAGCAGGACACAATGTGATATCTGATTTTCCATGCCTTGTTCAAAAATGCCATGTCCATCAAATTTTCGAATTAGTGACATTATTAAGCACATACAAAGGAAGCATTTTTTTTTGCATTCATTGAAAGCAAAAACCGTGAGATTTCAATGACATAATACAAAAATCTTTAAAATCTATACATGAGACTCCTATATTCTCTAGTGGAAGCTGAGGTACCGTGGTCAAGCTAATTCCATAATTTCTTTTATTTATTTGCTTAGAATTGCAAATAAATTTGACCACTATAAATCCATTCATTGTTTACACACTGGACAAAAAAATAGTTTTGCTCTTTCTTGCTAAATATATTAAGTAAGAAGAAATTACTGACCCTTGTTATTTCCACAGTTCTTGGGCTTACGTCTGCTCCAACTGATAAAAAAATAAATATATAGAATGATTAAAGGCTAAAGCTATCACAATATTATGTTTTCTACTTATTACTTCAAAATGATCACAAATATTGTGCTCTTTTCCCCAAACTGAAGGTTTCAAGATGTACTGTATTTGGTCCCGGAGTCCTACGGGATTTGGCGGCATATAAATCTATTAAAAGTTAAAGTTTACAACTTCCTGATTTCATAGTTAATATGGCCAATAGTTTGGAAGCCAGTTTGTTCTAGTGATTGAGGTACCAGGCTAGAAAGCCAGAGTTCAAGTCCCACCTTAGACATGAAAACCACATGGGTGACCTATGGCCAGTCACTCTTTTCTTAGATCCACCTCAGAGGGTTGTTGTAGGGAAAATAGGAGAAGGAAGGATGTTTTTGCTGCTTTGAGTTATTTGTAAAAATAAAGGCTGGACAGATAGCAAAGGGGGCTAAACATTTTTTAAGTTCTGAGAAACAAAGTAATTGATTAACTGCACTATAAGAGGGAGAGTATTTGAAATATTCCGTTATTATAGCTAATCTCGATAAGCGCAGTTGTTTTTGGGAGCAAACTCAAGAGCAGAATATCCATTATAATTCAGAGAGATGTTAATTGTTTGTTCTCACCCATACCTGAATTTCTCTGAGAAGGATCAGCAGATGATCTCTTAGCGCTGACTAAATTCTGCAACGTGGAGATAACCGGAGCAAATGTAGGATGAAAGTGGCTAGGGACATTATGTTGGCTCATCTGAAAAACCAAGAAGAACAAATAAAGCTCAAGCTAGAATTTACAAGGTTGTTCCACATATAATCCACACCAGCTGTTTATAGTTTCTCTCATTGGTTATAACATCTATCATTCAATCTGTTCATTAAACCATGGATGATGATTATGTTATCCAAGATGCTATTAAGAATTTCTAAATCACTACTGTGTTTCCCAGAAAAAAAACCAGGGTCTTATTTTCTTTTGACCCCCGAAATAATCACTTGGCCTTATTTTCAGGGAGGTCTTACTATTTTTGAGGTGCAAGGGGCCCCTTAACCTTGGCCCATGGATCAGTTGATCCAAAGATGGCTGGAACGTCTGTCTCTGTTTCTGGCACACTCTTGTCAGCCCTAGCATCATTAGGCCTGCCGGAGCATGGTAACTAGGGTTTGTAGGAGCGGCCTCCATGAGGCCATTCCGCATGGATGGCAGGTGCATGTGAGGTTCGTAGGGCATGTTCCCCCTCCCCCCAGGCTCTGTTTTAGGCCCAGTACTCTTCAACATCTTCATCAATGATTTGGATGAGGGAATAAATGGGGAACAGATTGCAGATGACACCAAACTGGCAGGAATAGCCAACACTCCAGAAGACAGGCTTAAGATACAGAAGGACCTTGACAAACCTGAACATTGGGCACTATCTAATAAAATGAAATTCAATGGTGAAAAGAGTAAGGTTCTGCATTTAGGCAAGAAAAACGAAATGCAGTATAGATGGTACCTTGCTCAACATAGTAACTGTGAGAGGGATCTTGGAGTCCTAGTGGACAACCATTTAAATATGAGCCAGCAGTGCACAGCAGCTGCCAAAAAAGCCAACACAGTTCTAGGCTACATAAACAGAGGGATAGAATTAAGATCACGTGAAGTGTTAATATCACTTTATAATGCCTTGGAATACCACACTTGGAATACAGTTTTGGTTGCCACAATATAGAAAAGATGTGGAAACTTTAGAAAGAGTGCAGAAAAGAGCAACAAAGATGATTAGGGGACTGGAGACTAAAACATATGAAGAACGGTTGCAGGAACTGGGTATGTCTACTTTAATGAAAAGAAGGACTAGGGGAGACATGATAGCAGTGTTCCAATATCTCAGGAGTTGCCACAAAGAAGAGGGAGTCAAACTATTCTCCAAGGCACCTGAGTGTAGAACAAGAAACAATGGGTGGAAACTAATCAAGGAGAGAAGCAACTTAGAACTGAGGAGAAATTTCCTGACAGTTAGAACAATTAATCAGTGGAACAGCTTGCCTCCAGAGGTTGTGAATGCCCCAAAACAGGAGATCTTTAAGAAGATGTTGGATAGCCATTTGTCTGGAACGGTGTAGGGTTTCCTACCTAGGCAGGGATTTGACTAGAAGACCTCCAAGGTCCCTTCCAACTCTGCTATTGTATTATATGGCAGGTACCAGCTGTAAATGCATTTAAATATTTAGGGGAAGGGCTTATTTTGGGAGAAGGGCTTATTTTAGCGCATGCGCTCAGAATCCCAATTGGGCTTATTATCTGGAGAGGTCTTATTTTCAGGGAAACAGGGTACTAACATATTCACTACTAACATATTCACACCTCAGAATTTAAAATGGATTTTTCAAAAAAATAGAAACATGCATGGACAAAATTCTAATTTGGCTTTTTAGTTGAGGGAAGACATATTGTGCCAACATGATGAAGAGTTAGAGAATCTGGCAATTGAGGCTAACAAGGTTGGAATTTATTTATTGCACTTCTAACTTTCTTTAGACTTTTTATTCCATCATATCTGGAGCCCAGCTGCTAAGACGCAGGAACAAAACTCTATCACTCTCTTAATGAAATAGATTTTCAAGCTGCAGAACACTAATCAAATGTCTGGATCAATGTTCCTCTGTATGCCGAGGGAATTCATTAGCGGTAGCATTCTGTATCTTGGAGAAAGAGTAGCAAAGTGAGGTAGTAATACCAGGATTGGACTTGTTTAGTTTAGTTTATGTAAGGCAAAAATAAATGGTGCATCCAACGTTTGGAAACTGGGCAGCGATTGGGGAATGAATGATCCTAAACTGAATTAAGAACATATGAGAAATGATATTGATAAATATATCTATGCCTTCCTGGAAGAATCGACAATAGTTTGTTGTATACCTTTCTAAAATGAGAACATAACATCCTGTGATTCATTATTATCAGTATAGGAAGGTTCATTTTAATGTATCTTATGTCCTTCACTGCATGTAAAATGGATGGCATGAGATGACTATTGTGGCTGAAAGTGGCTGGTAAAAATGATACTGCTCCCATGGCCTTTCTGTAATTAATGGTTTCATGAAAAATCAAATACATGCATAACTGTATAGAAATTATTAAAAATGTATTTCTAAAATAGGATTTTTCTGTCAGTCAAAACACGGGAATTGTCCCAACTATTAAGGATGCCTTTAGATAATTAAAAATGATGGATATAAACAGGTTTTTTTTAAAAAAATTAAGTTTATATTTCTAATAATTTTATTCCAATGATAAAACCAGCCAAGACAAACTATTTATAAATACCTTTTGTGATTCATTACTTTAGCATTCTTTTTAATGCATCATCAGCTGCTACTAACCTGACTGTTTTGAGATGTCTTTCTTGAGGATAACGAAGATCCTGCCCTCAGCCGTCCAATCTCCAGTTGCACAAGTCCTTGGGCACACTTCGATATACAAAATACAAGATAACAGGTATTCATTTTTATTGCTGTCCCTCCAAAAATTATACCTCTAAATAAACCATGACCATTTAAAATGTCCTAGTCCTCAGAAGACCTGGCAACATCCATTTCTCAAATTGCTCTTTTTTCTCCAGGTTATCTGTTATAAACTCTATTAAAAGACCATAATTTAGCTATATATATATATATATATATATATACACTTAAAGTCACAACCCCTGGTATGCCCAAGTGTGGGAGGAAGGTCACACTTCCACTCTCTGTCATTAGGCTCGTCACAAGAGACCATCCAGACAGAAACCCAATATTTTTTTTACTGTTGCCTTTGTTATATTTGTGTTGCATTTATTTATTTATCTTTATTTATTTAGTTGCATTTATTTATTTATTTATCAGCACAAATGCAACATATATATATATGTGTGTGTGTGTATCTATCTATCTATCTATCTATCTATCTATCTATCTATCTATCTATCTATCTATCTATCTATCTATC